AATACTCTTAGTGTAGTCGTTGTAGTAGATCTCTCATACTAGACCGCTACATTACAAAGAATTTTCCTCTTTGCTTGTAAAACTATTGCTGCTCTACAACGCAGGATTGAGCTTTAGATCGATCGATTCTCTTCTTTGCTGAGCCGTGCTTGTATGTGCTCGCGTAGTTTCTTTTCCAGATATCGCGTTATGCGGCCAATATATCCCGCTTCACAGGATCAGGTAAAAGAATAGGTGCACATCGACGTGGCCTGAACCGGTTATTCGTTTTTAACTTTTGTGTATATAATGTTAGGTGTTGTTTAGAAGATACCTGTATCTTGCAGATTTTCTACGAATGTTTAGTTACCTCGGTAGTTTTACGGAGTGGGCCGACCTTAATTATTTGGTTATCCTGGCTCTGCATAGATGGGATGTGGTTCCAGTTGCTGATTAAATTTTCCACAAATGACCAATCCGAAGTAAGCAGTTTATACCAGCCAATAAAAAAATTGGTTAGCGGTTTAATTGGTCTGACAAATCCACTGTATACGTGAGCTCTATCTAGGCAGTATAAAATGCTCGAATAGTTTTCGCAGACTGTCTCTATCATTGTGTACTCTCTGGTTTGTTGACAAATCATTATGTCTGTTGAGGAACAAGGTTTTCTAATGCAATCCATCTTTAATTTGACTTTTAAAGAAACGACTTTCGAGGATTTTGTGGAACTTGTCGATGCTTTGACGGCTTGCAGTAGCCACAAACGCAAATCGGAAATCGTGTCAAATTTTGTTCACCAAGGTCCAGGAGGTAACTTTTTAAGTTAAACACTACTCTTGCCCAGGCTCCTTGCACAATGAAACTGCCCTTGTCTTAAAATTACTGCTTCCCGGCATATCTGCGAGAATTTATAACGTAAAAGACAAGCAGCTGGTCAATTATTTCTCGGATATATTGATGGTCTCTCGGGAAGCGATGCTTGAAGACCTGGAGAAAGTATTCCTTACTAGCTTTTGTAATATTCAATTCAGGGCGATGTTGCGATGACTTTGTGCAAGTTCTTTCAGCGAAGTGGGCACATAAGGCCTGCCAGTCGTGGCACCGTTCTTCTGAAAACGGTGAGGCAATTATTTATGATCCCACCAGAATTTTCAGTGAAAGTTTGGTTTCCTTACACACTTTTACTCGCCAAATTTATTGAAATAAAAATAAGAGTGATCGCTCTTATGTCTGCAT